CCCGATATAGTCAGGCAGCCGCTGAACCAGACAACTTAGGAATCGTTCCTGAGGAGGTATAGGGCAGTTTTGCTGCATTCTGTGGGTTCTCACATTCCGGCAACAAACCCATGTGTCAAGAGAGTTGTACTTGCTCACATGTTGGCAACAGGATTTTCAAATACAGTGCAGGCAAACCTGCACACAGTTTATGGCGGCACAGGTCTATGCGGCTTCGCCGCCTTCGACAGCACTCGGTAGCTCTCCGGGACCCTTTCTGCTTTGACCTCGAGTGATGCGGGCTCGCGCATGTCTAGCTCGAGCGAAGTTGCAGCTTGCGGTTGCTGAGTCTACAGTTGTAGATCTGCGGAGCCTGCGCTCCTGAGCCGACGAATGGGGCAGGTGGTTGACACCTGTTATCGTGTAGGCCAGTTTTTTTTTATTTATATTTATTTTTATTTGACGTGTCAAGAGTCACATGCCCATACAGCTGCCGGCCCCACAGTCGGAACCTCGCGCTGCCTCTTAGGTTGATTGCGTTCAGGTGCCTCCAACTGGTACACTCAACGTAAGACGTGTGTTGGATTGTTCGTTTTTCGCATCGTACTTGAAGCAGTGCCCAAGCAGTTGGGTCTGGAAGCGCATGGACGGCTGGTCGTACAGAAGCAGCCGCAGCCCCCATTTGGGAACACCAGAACAGGTAGCACGGATGCCGAGGGCTCAACACAGTGGCCACACGCAAGAAAGACTGTGCACTAATGCACAAGTCAGACAGGCGGCATCGTGTCAATGTAGATCGGCTGTGTGTGTAAACTCCTGAGAAGTGGAGACCCAGCGTTGCTGGGCGTCAAGACCGGGTAGTCTTTATCTGCAACGGTACAGTCAGTGCGGCGGCAGTATGTATCCCAGTTTTGCTGCACCCTGTTACGTGCCGGAAAGGACCCAGTAGTCAAGGCATCTTTCCTAGGCGCTCTTGGTCTCGGATGTTTCATGTTGACTTGAGGCTGTGAGCTAACACTTGCTGCCTTCGATCGGGCGCACCGGCAGGCTTAGAGTGTTCAGAACGGATAGGTGCTTCCTGCCCGAAACCCGGGTGCAGTCGATGACTCCGCTTGGGAGCACCAGGGCAAAGGGGGCCTTTTATCTTTTTCCAGGCTCAGCTCCGTGAAGACGATGCCGATTTCCGAATTGGAGCAAAATCAGCTGCGCCTCCACAGAGCATCGCTGCATACCATCGTCCCCGCGAATTTCACTTACTAGGAGGGTCTGCCTTCTTATGCCACCTTGTTTATTCCTGAAGCTGCCCCTGCATTGCTTGCTCTGCCTTGCATGGGGCCATGACGTTTTCGGAGCCCCATGCCCCGTTTGCGTCTTAACCCTTCGGGGCGGAGACAACGCGGGTGCCCATCTCCTTGCCGGGAGGTGACCTCTCTCTCTCTCTCTCTACATGCAGGCACACAAACATACCAACATGTTACTTATGCGCACATCTGCCCATGGCAAAACGATATGCCATGTGTCACATATACCGCTTGTTTCTGTACGAACGTTTGTGTAGTGACTCGTCAGCAGTTTTTTTACGCCACATATATGAATACGCACCAAATACATACAGATAAGCTCATATTTGATATGTATATGTTTCTGTGTATATATATATATATGTATGTATATGAATGTGTGTATCTATGTATATGTATATATACACATATGCACGAATATATATATATATATATAGAAACGTGCAAGAAGCGGCGTAGCCTCCAGAGCCTTGCGCTTTTGCTGAATCCTCAGATCCGGGAGGGATTGGAGAATCGGAGCAGCCGAAGCAGTACGAAACAGCTGAACACATACTTCATTACAATTCTAACAAACTAAATACTATAGTGTGTAGTATAGTACCGTGTAGATGGGAACTTCCTCAAAATTGAAGTGCCCATACAAAAGAGGACCATAGAGGACCCGTAAAGGGTTGCAGCATGTGAGGGGGGGGGGGCTATCTGAAGTTGGTAGCAGCCACACCTGCACAATATATATATATATATATGCTGAGGACCTACTATATCTATGCATACATATATGTATATGTATACATATATGTACAACTAGATACATAGATAGACAGATAGATAGATAGATAGATAGAAAGACAGATACGCACATATATGTGTATATGTTTCTGTATATATGTATGTATACATATATATATATATATTTATAATATGTACATATATATATATATACACAAAAAATATACGCATCTGTATACATATATATATATATATGTGTGTGTGTATATAGATACATATTTATGTATGAAACCCAAAGCCCTCAAAACCCTAAATCCCGAACCCCACGAGCTTCTGATTGAGATTGGTGCATACAGCATCGCGGGACTTGTCTGTGCTCCGTAATGTCATTCCAAGACTGAGCAGCTGGGAATTCGCCAAAAGAGGATCCACAAACATATGGAGCGAGTCAAAGGTTTAGGGCTTAGGGCTGAGGTTGTTTGGGAACGATAGGTAGACAATACCAGAAAAAGTTCGATGCGAGTGCTTGGGCTAGAGTGTCGTGCTGCCGCTTTGGCAGATAGACCCGCTGTACTTGGGCTTCAGGGAAGATCTGCAGGGCATTGCACGCCGAGCATCAGAATCTTTTCTGCCTCTGTCCCGTTGAACATCTGGGTGATGCGCGGTCCTGCCAGGTCAGCTCGAGATGCGGGACGCAAGGCTCAGCGAGACTTAAACAATGCTTTGAGGCACCCCTGAAATATTCAGAATTGGGTGTGGTCACCTCTATGAAAAAATAATCGGTTGCGGGCCTGGTATTCAAAATAGGGTTTTCAGATCTCGAATGTCGAGTGTGAACGCCAGGAATGCAAGCAGCCGTTGCACTTCTCTCTCCATACATACTTTGTCATACATAGATGCAAACATATACATATAGGTGTACATGTATGTGTATGCATACATATATATATATATATACATTTACACATACAAATATATACATATAACATATCTGCTATAGAATATGTTACGCATGCTGCGTATATGGGCATTTGCGAATATATGTGGGTTTGTAAATATTGGCTCTAGAGACATCGCACCGGCGCCAGTTCTGCAAGAAACAGCTACTGGCACGTCATGCCCAACGCCGCAGACGGTGTTCAGGGTCTAGGGATGTGCACAGGAAACATTTGTGCATTTGGCAAGCTCGCTGCTCGTGTCATTCCAACCCAACAAGTTTCACTGCAACCAGTATGGGGAAGGACCACGCAAGCCCCAGATTCGAGATACGTTACAAACATGGCCGTCTTGATAAATCAGGCTGGCGAATGCTCAAAATATTCACACTGGCACAATCACTTTGCAAATACTTTGCGAAACGGGCAAACCGTCAAATGCCTCTTGCTTCTTGCCGTGCTCCCTGGGCAAGCAGAACTGCAAAATCTGTTCCGTTTCCACAGAGCTCTGCCCACAGGTTTAGGGTTTTGGGCTCAGCTGATTTGCAAGCCAACGGTGATGGAAGCTGGTCTCCACCAAAATCGCAGTCGTGGCTCCCCGACAGCGGACACCAACAGGATCTGCTCGCAGAACCCAATCGCCTAATCTAGCTCAATATGTCACCAGTCAGCACAGTATGGTTTAACAGAACATCATATGACTCAATACCGAAATTATACTACAATGAAATACAATACAATACAATGCAATGCAATACATAAAAGATACTATTATCCAAAATGATAAGGTAATATAAAAAAATCATATTATAACGTAATACCTAACATCATTTTACATAAGCTAATAAAACACAAAATGAATTACAACGATATAATATGATACAATTTAATATAATATATCATAACATCATACATGCCAATTTAATCTAATACAGTATGATAGAATATGACATAATATCATACAATACAGTATAATATGACAGACTGTCATAAAATATCATATAATACAGTATCATACAATATAGCCCGATGCATCATAACACACTGTAGTGCGCTATAAAAGCGTAGTGCAATATGATTCAAGATAGCAGAATATTGTATGGTATGATATAGAACAACAGTGTATAACACAACATATTATAATACAGCAAAACATCATGCAAAATAGTACAGTGTAACATAACACCACGCAATGCAGTTTACATAAGATAACATATATTGTAGTGTGATATGTTATAACACGATGTAAGACGAGACAACTTGATAAAGTATAATGACGTAAAGTTAGTATAATATACTATAAAGCAAGATAGAACAGAACAGCATACTATAGATACAATAGAGCACAATAGAACCCAAGGATAGACTACACCAGAATACAATAGAATACAAAAACAGACCAAGCTAAACTAGACTAGACTCTACTAACTCTACTAAACTAGAACAGATTAGAATAGGATAGAATAGAGTAGAATAGAATAGAACAGAACAAAATTGAATAGAGTAGAATACCATTCAACACAACACAACACCGTGCAATACTACAAAGGATATAGTACAACGCGATATAGGAATATATTATGTTGTAGTTAATTTCATATGATGTGATAGCCATACAATAGTAGAATACAATATGATGCAACATATGCAGCAATCTGATAAAATAATCTAGAATATGATAGTAGAGAGCCTCCTTGAGAGGTCACTGGCAGGTTCTCGGCGAGTTGAAAGATCTCTTGACACCGGTTTCGGCTTTAGGCTTTAGGGTTTGGGGCTGGGGTTGTGGGCTTTAGCGTATAGGTTTTAAGGCTTAGGGACTAAATGTTTTGCGCAAGAGTCCTGTGACAGGGTCGTAGTCCATCGAGGCTAGCATGAGCTTCCTGTGTGCCATCAGGCTGATCCTGTTCATGCTGTGCCTTTGCTGCGAATGCACGAAAAACATGTCTCTGTTATTTGTTGTGATTCAGCCCCCGCCCCCCCCCCAACAACAACAACAACAAAGGTTTTCAGAGTCAAAAACCTTGTAGCTTGATGCATGCCAAGAGTCAGCCCTGAATCATCTTCTCCATCCGTTGGCATTCCAAAAGTGGGCATGGGGCCTGCCTTCATTTACACAAAACACTGATGCTGGACATCACCCGTTTATTTGCCCTATTCATGACTTGCAGCTCCAAACAAGCAGTTAAGCCACCATAAAAGCAATGGTCTCCAACACAAACTGACGTTCATCTAGTACTATCAATTCTTCTGTAGTAAATGAAAGTCAAGTTCCACATACGGATCTTACTATAGCGCTACCCAGCTCTACCGTAACAAGTAGTCGGCTGTGACCGCAATCGGCAAATTAAGAGTGTGGCAGCGGATACCCAAGTGCAATGAACATCGCCACGACATCACTACCCTTACATAACAGGGGAACACCTTGGTCGAAAACCTCCAACAGCAGACATTCTTCAAAGACAACTGCGCACATGACGTAGAAACATATTACTCCTAACCAGGTTGCTCCAAAACCCTAAACCTTATATACTATACTATACCATACTATACCATACCATACTATACCATGCTATACCATCCTATACCAAACTATACCATACTATACCGGATTATACCATAGTATACCATACTATACCGTACTATACCATACTGTACCATACTATATTATACCATACTTACTAACCATACCATACCATACTATACCATATTCTACTATGCTATAGTACACCATAAAACCACCGGATCCCGGTGAGGGACCCTGGTCTCATGGATGTTGCCATTCTCGAAATCCGTGTTCTCGCCGAACCTTTTGATAAGCCGCACTGTCCTGTGACAACGGTTTAGGGTTTTGGTTTTTTTTAGCACCTTTTTCCGTCCGCTTGTCTTAGCCTCCGGAAGTTGTTCTTAGCAGAAGGTACGTACCCCTATTGCCCACAGTCTGCCGTTTGACCATACCGTGTATCTTCAGCTGTCTCACACTCACTTGACCAGTCCACATAGTGGTCAAGAGCAACCCTGACCGCCTCCAAACCCTGAGTTTGCCACACCCTTCTGTAAACACAGCACCACATCTTCCTGCAAGGATCCAGAAAGCCATTGGGTCAAAGACCTATTTGTTGATAAACTTACAGCTTGCAGATTGAACGCAGCCTATTCTGGGAAATGTGCAGGCCGGGTGGGGGCACAAGCGCCACCCTAACCTAACATTCCCTATATTGTTACCCCCTAAACTTCTGTACGTGATCCTTCCCCTACCCTCGAAAGGGGCAACGAAACAAGTGTAATGTAGTATAACATGTACATTACAGTATAGTAGAGAATAGTTTAATCTAATATAGTGTCGTGTCAATATAGTATAAAAAAGGCTCCTGGTGTGCAGTGGAATGCCGGCGGACTTGATGGCCATGGAAACGTGGCTAAGATCTTGGTCATCTGGCCTCAAGCCATGAAAACTACACCAGACTAAGATTTAGGGTTTAGGCATGTTTAGGCTTTAGGCTCCAGGGTTTAAGGGCTTTCAAAGCTTTAGGGATACTTCGGGTGGTGGGGTATGTGATAAAGTTTAGGAACTTTACAGACTGTAGGGAAGACTGTAGGGACTGTTTGGGTAGTTTTGGTTGAAAATATGCAGACAAGGAGGCTGAAGGGTTTGAATTACGTTAGAGACTTTGAAATTGAAGTATTGGGTTACAGGAGCTACTTTAAACTATCAGACCATGGATCTTGGAGACGTTTTCAAAGAGGTTACGCGTGCTCGTTGCTTTGGCGTTCGCAACCGTTCGCGAGTGTCGGAGGCGTAGCGCGAATGTCACGAGTGTCGCATCAGGCTTGGGAGCGCGAAGCGCAGAATTGTCGTCACTTTTGGACCGACGCTACTTCGCTAGATGTGAAAAGTGTCAACAGTCACAGGGATGTGGCCGCAGAACTGTCGTGACTTGTTGACGGACGCTTTTTCTTGTGGGGGTCTCAAAAAGTGTCAACAGTCGCAGGGATGTGGGGGGTCAGGTGCGCGAAACGCAGAACTGTCGTCACTTTTGGAGCGACAGTGTTGTTGTGCGGTCTCAAAAGTGTCAACAATCACAAAGAAGCGGGGGGCGCCTCCTCGTCCTCGGACAGGATCTTGGCGGTCGCGAGGTTTGCGAGCTGGTCTGGCTTTCCGACAATTGCGATCCCGGATGCGTATGCTCTCATCACCTCGTCAACCGTCTTGGAGATGAACTTCGGGCGCTCACTTGCGCCAGGGTACATGGGCTGCCGGAAGGCTTCCGAGCACTCGAGCAACTCCAAGGGCACCGTACCGAGCCCGTAGTCCGTCATCGCCTTCATCAACGCCGTGATGTAGTTCCTCACTTTGCTCAGTATCGCAAACGACATCGGCATGGCCATTCCGTTCATCGCCTGCAGGACTACGTCGAGTTTGGCCGCCGCCACTTCAAACAGCCCCTAAGGGTCAAACAACGGTCTGATCTCCGGCGTCCAGTTGCTGGCCAGCTGCGCTCAAAAGCAAGTGCTCATCTGATAGCGTGGGCCTTAACCCGGCGTGCATGAGCGCGCCGACCACCTTCATGTTCGGTTACGCGATGAGACGCTTCTCGGTCAAGGTAGGCGCCGATACAGTGTAGTGCATCTCGGATATCTGCTACCTTCTGGCTTTGCGCTAGCAACCGCCTCTTTGACGAACTCAGCATGCGTGAAGAACTTACTCTTCGGCCCTTGAATTAAGACTGCCGTGACTGGCCTCGGGCCCTTGAGCGTCTCCCGGTCCTTTCCCCTCATCTCATCCACACGAGTTCAAGGAACCTGTACAGCCTCGTCTCCTTTCTCGTTGGCGGGCAGCCCTTTTTCCGCAGGCGGTCCCCCAAGAGGATAGATACGACCTCCGTGCCCTGGTCCTTCTTTTCCTCTTCTTAACCCCTTGTACGGCCCCACCGTCGATCCTCCTCCTTTCCCTTCTTGCCTCGTCCGCCACATCCTGGATCTCTTTGAGTGTCTTCCCCTGCAAATCCTTGATCCTCCTCACCATCTCCAGCAACACCGACAGAGGGTGTTTGGCCCCTACCCTCTGAAGACCACTGATGAGATGATCCACGGTCGCCTTACCGGCCACCTCGATCAGCAGATCATTGAGCTGGAATATGCTGAAGGACTTGGTCGCCAACATCATCCTCTCTGTTGCCATGCGCTTCCCAGAGATACCGATCATCTCCAAGTACTCCTGATTCTGCATCCGGCTTTCCGCGCTGAGGATGTTATCCAGCGTCAGGACGTGCTTAGGCTTCTTCTTCGGCTTCCAACTCTGCTGGAAGCGTGGTGCGCGAAATGCAGAACTGTCGGCATTTTTGGACTCGCGGTTTCTCGTGGGGTCTCAGAAGTGTCAACAGTCACAGGGATGCGGGGGGTTCGGGTGCGTGAAACGCAGAACTGTCGTCACTTTTTGAGGGCTGCTTTGTTATGCCGTCTCAAAAGTGTCAGCAGTCACAGGGATGAAGGGGGGGGGTTCGGGTTCTCGAGACGCACCATCCTTACTGTCGTCACTCGTGGACGGACGCCGTATCCTGGAGTCTCAAAAAAATGTCAACAGCCACAAGGATGCGGGGGGGTGGGCTCCGCGAAACGCAGAACTCTCGTCACTTTCGGACGTGAGGCTTGGTCTTGGAAGCACGAGAATCGCTGCGGCATGCCGTCGCTTTTGGACGGACAGTCTGTCGTGCGATCTCTAGTGTGTCAACTGTCACAGGGATGAGGAGGGCGGGGTGCACGAAACGCAGTAATGTCGTCACTTTTTAAACGACGTATTCATGTGGGGTCTCGAAAGTGTCAACAGTCGCAAGGATGTGGCGGATGGGGTGCGCGAAACGCAGAGCTGTCGACGGACGCTTTTTCACGCGGTCTCAAAAGTGTCAACAGTCACAAGGCTACCCGGGGTCGGGTGCGCGAAACGCAGAACTGTCGTCGCTTTTTGACAGACGCTTTTCCATGCGTCTCCAAAGTTTCAACAGTCACGCGGATGAGGGGGGTCGGGCGCGCGAAACGCAGAACAGTCGTCATTTCTGGAGCCACGTGTGAAGGCTTAAGTTCCCTTGTGGCGGCAATACGCGATGTGCGAGACGCGTGTCTGCATTCGGGTTCGTGGCTCCTATCAAGTTTTTTCTACGAGGTATAGCCTTATGCTTCTCTGCAGCACTATGCACATCTGGCCCGACCCTCCCTGATGCTGATGGTAGCTCATGTGCGTAAAACGGCTTTGAGGTCTCTGGTACAACTTCCTCTTCAAGTGGAATTGCCAGATATGACACTACCTGCTTCCAAAGTCTTGCATTCACTGGCAGGTAGGTTCTTGTTGGCCCCACAACGAGCACACTTCTTCCGCGGACGGCGCTTACTAGCAGAAAAAGCAGCTTTATGCTCTTGAAGCGCAGCAACTGCACAACAACGCATTCAACTGCTGCCTGTTCTTGAATTTGTTTGTGCCAACGAAAGTGATTCTATTGTAGAATGGGTAGAGAGGAAGAGCGGAGTCTTAAGAATGGATTCTAAGTACGTGTGCTCTCACTCTCACTCTCGGAATAGGAGTGCCGCTGCGCAGAGACCTTAAACCCTCAAACCCTAAAGCTCCAATCTCTAAAACCCTAAACCCCCTAAACTCCCTAGACCCAAAGCAGACAATGTAAGCAGACATCTTCTCTCAAAGAAGGAGGGGGGGGGGGGCGATAGTATAGCATATAGTATATCGTATAGTTGCATATAGTACAGCGTAGTACAATATAGTATCGTATAGTATATGGGGGCTATCGTACAGTGCAGTAGAGTATAAGTATAATACAGTATACCTGTAAAGAAGGAGGGACTGTCCATCAGGCCAACAGATCGTCGTCTCAAGCTCCACGATGGGCTCCGGCCTTACGCAAGGGCTTCAAACAAGGCTCTGAATAAGCTTAAACTATATTTGTATATGTCTACATACATATATATATATATATGCTAATATCCTTTATCTGCTAGAATTGCAATATATATATATATACACACTACATATATGCATGTATATATATATATATGTACATACATGCTGATATATGCAATATATATGCTATATATACTCCCTCTCCACACCTTTCCAAAACTGTCGTGGTATTGATTACGGAACAGCTTGTTTCCCTTGGCCATGGCAAGTCTATGTCGAGGTCGCTAAAAGTTGAATGCAGCTTTTCCATTTCTTAGGGTGAGCTCTTGCGCGAGAGTGCCGGAACAAAAAGTCTGAGATTGAAGCTGCGGTCTGGTTTGCCGCTTCTCATGTATCCACAGGCCGTGGCCGACAATATGTATTCCCTCGTTTAAGGGGAGAGGAGAATGAAGATCTTGAGCGTCTTTCCGGTCAAAAGTCGAAAACTGCAAGGGTGAAGGATCCGATTGTTGCCAGCTGAAGCCACTTATTCAAGTGCCGGCTTTTTCCCTCGAACCCATGTCTTAGGAGACTGGGAAGGGTAAAGTGACATGCTTTTCATCTGCTAGCTTTTCTTTGGATAGGATAGAGGCAGTATGTCGGGCACATAAGGTCTCAAAGAGAAAGCCAACAGGCTTTGCAACACACGTTTTGGGCAAAGGGACCAAATTTTTTTGGAGGTGGTGCCCTGGGAAACCATCCATCCGCGTGATGTGACAAACCTTGTTTACTCTACTCTACTCAAACTTGCTCTGCTGTACTCCGATTTACTCTGCACTACTCTACTACAATTCCCTCACCCTCATGAGCTGTCAGCGTGATTGCACTGAGGCTGTGGCATGAAGCCGAACTCCATACCGACGACGAAAGCCAGCACAGGCTGCACACCCATCCCGAAGGTCATGGCAATACACCTGGATTTGGGGTTCAGGCCTCAGAGCCCCTACCATTGTAGCGCCCTGAATCATGCAGACTTAAGAAATGGAATTATGTTGCTAGAAGGAAAGGATGGTAGTATTGATACTCGTATCCCCCATTTTATGCTCTTCTACACTCAGCACTTTGGCGATGGTAGCAACCCATAAACACGTCTTCCACGAGCTTCGGCCAACTCATCGCCGAGGCTCTTCTCCGTAGCCCCCGGCGAGAAGTAGAAGGTGTAGCCCTCCCACTTGTCGGGGTTCTTCTTCATCCAGGTGTTGGCCTTTTTTCCAAACAGAGGTCGCCAAAGACTTTCGGCAGCAAAGGCCCGAACTTCGTTGGGGTCAAGTGTCAGACAGCTACATCGCGTGGGAAGTGTTATGGTGTGTCGATGTGGAAAGGGGCAGGTTACAAATTTGGTAGTAAAACTCTGAGTTCACTATATAGCGTGTACTATCTACTATATGCTATAGACGATCTGCTTTCGTATTATGAACTACAGAAAATATATATTATAGTGCAAGCAATGCTTACGCACGACAGTTTCGGAGGTCGAGCTGCGCAGGGCACGGCAAAAGGCTCCAACTTGATGAACTTGTCGTCTGAGGTCGTCTGCCAATCGCCCTGCTGCACCTTCGAATTAGCGCCGTTCGCACCTTGGGCAACCACGAGCACTGCAAAGCGCTGCATAGCACTGCAAGGTCCAAACCTTAAGCCGCAAAGGCCATGGGGGGGGGGGGGGG